CAGAACTTAAGTGAAAAGGTTTCACCTTGTCTTCTTTAAAAGAAATATTTGGCTATCTGATTATTAATTGATGAATCGAAAAAAATAGTTGACAAATTAATCGATTTGCAAAATTGTCTTTAGTTGCACACCTTGTATGGTTCATTTAAAATGATCTAATCCTATCAGTTTGGAACTATCTAGCCTTTAAATCGAGGTAAATTTGTTAATTGTGAAGTTAGTCTGCCTTCTGTATTCAGTCCAGCTGTTGATGTCAAACTGATCCTTTTAATAGTGTCAAACAGAAACCACCAGCTTTGCCTTAACAAGATGAGGGATTCCTCAATTCCTAGTTCAGCGTGCTGATCTATTTAAGGTTATATTTTAAACAGTTTGTCAAATTTTGACCCTCTTTGTATCACATTTTTATTAAAACCTACTTGGATCGCCCAAATGCATGTTTTCCCCACTGTCACTAGTTTGCCCTCCATTTAAAAACTCAAAGGAAACCCCGGAATGTGTTAAATAACCTTTTTCACACAGAGGCTGTTTACTTAAGTTCTTCTCATGGAGCTGCAGGAAGCCATGCAAGCAAACAAAGATGAAACAAAAACTGTGAATAATCGTACATTTTAATGTAGGGCAGCTCCCAAATGGTTTCCATATCAGATTCTATTGATTCTGACTGCAAAATAATGAGGCACAATAAAAGTGCTACCAGTAACAGACCCAGCAGAAATGTAAAGGAGGAACGGAGGCAAAGGCTACATTTACAATTAGAGGACATAAATATCTTACAATCATACCGAAGCTGAGTCACCAGAAGCTACAACCTGCACTTAACTTTCAGGAATCAGTGCGACAAACTGGCAGGATTTTTCCTGTCTTAAAAGGGAGCAGTTGCAATGTCTTGTACAGCAGCTCATCACTGGCAGCAGCCCACCAGTCAGAACCCACCAGGTATAAAAACCGGTAACCAGTTTTGATTAGAAGGCCTCCAAAAAGCTCAAAGCCATGATTGCATTGTAAACAGGGCAGAAATGATGTGAGCGCAATCAGTGGAGGATTTGAACTGGAGGCTGCCAACTCTGCGAATACAGCACAAAGCTATTTGATGAGTTTCTGTTGGAGACGGATGAAAAAGACCACCTGATTGTTCAAAAATGTTTTCTGTTTTGATTTTAGAAATGTTTTTTTTTTAAATGCCCTTTGGGATATAATGCCACCCAGTGGTTAATATCAGAACTGACTCAAGCGAACTGGTCACTTTGAACTTCCTTTTTTGACAAACTCCCTTACAAAATATATATGTATATATTTTAAAACTCCTCTTCTAAAATGGCTCTTTCAGTGGTTATTCCTGTGTTTTATTTCTAATTCCCTCTCAGAGAAACATGGATTGGATTGGCTTCCTCAGATGTTGTATTTCAGCCTTTTAGGCTCCCTGCAGGCTCTGCTAAGGGGAAAAAAAAGAACACTGCAGCTTCATCTGGGTGGTATTCTGAAAAAAACAACTTTCTGTTGTAATTTGAAACTGAGGTCTAAAATACTCTCTTATTGGTTATTGAACCATAATTATACACTAAAATTACTCTCATTTTAGCCACCGTGTTATTCAGAATCTGTTATCTTTAAGTGGATGGGTCTGCTCTCTTTATAATAGCAAAACACAGCCTCTATAGAGATACGAAATAAACCCTCATAGCCCTACCTTTGCAAAGTACTGTAAGATGCATTTAAAAGTCAAGTAAGACAAGTAAAGCTAATAATTTGCCTCATTTTATTTATTTATATTTTGGAACACATCAAAGGAAACCTCATAACGCTGTATATGTCTAGTATATGTAAGATCTGAGGCAAACAAAAACAAATTTTAGTGAGAGTTTAATCTAATTCTACTTTTTCTTATGACAATAGCTCATTGTGGTTATACAAATGCAATATATTATGGTACACTTTGCTTGTGGTCCAAATCTTAGTAAACTTAACCATTTTGGGGAATTACCATAACAAGAAAAGGTGACCAGAGATGAACCAAGGAAGCACGAAGCCAAGCAAGTCAGTATCTCCCCAGCCCAGATGTATAAACAAAGAGGAAAAGTCAGAGATCCAACATGAAAAAGGACAAAAAAATATATACCGGTACATGTCAAGAGTAATATGACAAGTAAAGCTCAGAGTGCGATACCAACGCTTGTGTTCATTGGAGCGAAAGCTAAAGCTGCTGAAGCTGGAACGTTGATAGATGCGTAAGTACTGCCAACAGGGGGCGACAGCATTCATTTATATTTATGTCTGCTGATGGTACAAAACATTTTCGTTCTCCAAAAAGAGTAAGTAAACACTATCAGGACACTTTTTTGAATGAGAATTTTTTTTTCTTCTGTCAGAAAAGGCACTAAAATGAACCACAACTTGTGAGTGGTTTTAGTTAGACTTAGACAACTGTTATTGTCTTTTATTTGCCATCAAAGAAAGGGATGCTAGGATGAGACAATTTGAATAAATACTGGGGTCAATCCTATTGGGAGGGGTCCCCACAATAGTCAGGAAGCTCCCAATGGTATTGGCTGTTGTGCGGAAGCCATGAGATGTTGAGATATCAAAAAAAGTAAAATAAAGAACAATGGTGTTGATGATCATGTTTATATAGGGAAACCAGAGACCATGTGTTACCTATATAGCGAACACACTTCTATCTTCCTTTTGGAATATTCAATCTAGGCACCTTTAAAAAACATGCTGAACAATCATAAAACCTCAGAACCGGAGGTACAGTATGGCTTTCATCCACAGTTGGGAACAGTGACCTCAATATTTACCTCAGGGTACCTCTAAGGGGGACCATGACAGATTAGCTGTCTATTTGTAGCCCGCTTCTTCCTTGAAGTATTTTTCAGGAGTTCCAGAGGGGTATGAGCTACTTAGGTAAATTTTAAGGGCCATAGTGCTGTTTTGTGCCCAACAGGACAATTTGTAGAGTGTTTGGACTCTATCGGAGCCGTTCTTTATCTCCGATCCCTTTTCTGGTGTTCATGCATGAAATCGCCAAGATTGGGATCATGATGGATCATGGATAGAGTCGCCTATATAAGCAGATACATATATAGATTCAGCTGCAGGGTCAGACAACACCCTTGGAGCAAGGCTTGAGGCCCCAGTAATCAATGTGGAACCCAAAGTAAAACGTCTGTTCCTACAAATCTAAAATCGTTACTAAAATGGTTTGGAATCCTGGGTGTGTCCCTTTGGAAAATTCCTGGTCTAAGGGACTCTAATGGGATCCCCCCAATAAGCCTGGAAATGGAGAATATTCCTTCTTAGACCTGTTCCACACCCTGCCAATCAGATAGGCGAAGACAAAGATTGACCTCGAAATGGGTACTGCTTCAATGGCCACTGCAGGCCTTGATGCTCAATTCCGATTTTTTTGTGAAATCTGATTTTTTTGCGTTGCAGTTCACACTTCCAAATATATGCGACTTGTATGTGGTGTCCTGTGTGAACTGCATTCATACAACCTAAGTGTCCCGCATGAACAGGAGAGGACCCAATGATGTCACAGGCCAGCGTGCTTTTTGACAAAACAGATTCAAGACCACATAGGCTACGTTCATACTGCAGCCTGAAGTGACCCAAATCCCATTTTTTTTGCCCATATGCTACCTGGATCTGATCTTTTCATGACAGTCTGAACAACACAGATCCGATTTTTTCCAATGCGATCCAGGCCACTTGGCTATGCGGTCCATGAACCCAATACGAATCTGGTCTTTTAAAATGCGACCTGTGTCTGAACAGCCATTAGTAACCGACATAGGTCACTATTCTGCTTCTTGCTACACAGAAGCGGCAAAAAAAACAAACAGCCATGGTGGACAACGATGCGGAGGGCAGTATTTTTTTAACCATCTTGAAAAGATTGAGGTTTTAAGGTTTGGAAAGACTGCTAGATGCGCTCCAGCTACTGCGTATGCGGGACACTTGAGCTGTATGAATGCAGTTTACACAGGAGATCACATAAAAGTCGCATATATTTTGAAATGTGAAAGGCAACGCAAAAATATCGGATTTCGCAAAAAATCGGAATTGAGCATCAAGGCCTGCAGTGTGAACTGTCAGGATTTGATTGTGGTTTGTGGACCCAAATGCAGAGGCAGGGAGGCAGAGGTGAGTTTCTTGTAGATTTAATGAAGTGCTTTATAACAACTGAGGCAGAAATCCAAAAAATCCAAAAGTCAAAACATGAAAACAAATCAAACAAACCAGAAACCATGGAGACATCTGGGGAAAACTATCACAAGGAGGAAGACTCAGAGAGACGGAGTTGGAGGAAGTTAGACGAGGAACCAGCACTGAAGGCTGAACTGCACAGAGACAGAATTTATGGGAGACTGAAACAAAGAGAGGGCTAACAAGCAGATTGGGAGCAGGTGTGAACAGAGCAGAAAAGGAAAGGAGCTAGGGAAAAAGGAGAACACAAGAGGGCAGCAGAGGGGAACAAATAAAAACCTGGAAACTGAAAATAACCAGAAAACACAACAAAATAAGAATTAAAACACTAAAAATAGAAAACATGGAGCAAAGTAAAACTGAATACCCAAAAGAAAACATAATAGAACCAAGACTGTGACATGAACGTAGCCATAGCCAAACGGCCTGGGTCGCATTGGAAAAAATCGGATATTGTTGTTCAACCTGTCATGAAAAGATATGCGACCTGGATCTTTGCAAAAATTGTAATTCCTCTTTTTTTATGAATAAATGAAACAATTTATTTCATTGATATAAACTTGTGACAAGTTTATATCAGTTCACAACTCCTTGCTTTAGTTAAATTTTACTCATATTCAAGGCTTCCATGGGTTTACATTTGTGGACTTGAGAGTGAAAGAATAAGCAAAGTGCCTTTTGTCTCCATTTATCCAAAATTTAATAGCAGCTAAGCCCAGGGTGGTGGTCTCTGGGTGTTTGCGCAACCTTCCAGCAACATCAACGTTGAACTTTTGCGCCGCCCTTACCGCCAATATCCGGCCGCAGGGTTTTATCATATTCCCTCAGCAGGTTGTTGAGGATGAGCGTTGCGTCCTCCTGGTGCGTCCTGGGCACCAGCATCTGGTTGACGGTGGTGTCGTGGAGGTCCTCTTCATCGTCGCCATATTCCAGTAGGTCAGAACTAAAATGGGAGTAAACATAAAAATAAATAAATAAATAAATAAAAATGCATAACATTAATTCATCAAATTAAGTGAAGGGTGATATTTAGCAAATAAAACTTTTGTCGCAGTGGGGAAAAAGGTCTAATACTGATGCGTAAATGATACTTTTACAAGGGAAAATTTTTAAAATGTATATTTTTCTTGTTTCTTTGGGGGAAGCCCTGGCACAGGAGGACCAAAATGCGCAGTTGGCCCGATGTGGCCAACTTTTTCTCCCCAGCTGTTGATCAGTCAGAAGCAGAAGAGACTCACCGAGCAGCCTGGGCGAGCAGAAGAAGTGAGAAGAAGGTGACCAGGAGCCTGAATGTCATTTTCCCACGCACGGATGGCAGCTCTGCTCGCGGGAACTGCTGGAAGGGGACCCCGGCGCGCGCTGCTGCCGCCGCCGCTGCTGCTGCCGCGTGCAGGAGGTGTGTGCCCATCAATCCCGCATCCAAACTCCCTCATCCGCCCACGTAGCCTCTACCCACGCACGCTGTCCTCCTCGCTCCTCGCAGGAGGGCTTCCTCCGGGAAGACACCCGACGATCAATCAGGACGGGTGATGAGTCCGATAGGATGAGGTGGAAACAAGAGGAGGAGGAAGGGGGCCAACTCCCTCCTCCTTTTTCCCCTCTGTTGCGCGTGCGGGGGGCCAACACACCAGTTGGTGGGGTAACGCTCTCAGCCGCTGAATCTGTGACTCATATACACCGTGCGCACTACCTGGGTGTCACTATCCAGATGAAAACAGGAGGGGACGTCATAAACGTGATTAATCACCTCCTGCACGTGAACACCTATGTGACCGGAGACTAATTTCTACCCCAAAATAAAAGAACGGGAATAAAAACGGAAAAGCATGCAGGTGCTGCGTAACTGAAGTTGAGGCATTTCTTTAGACTGGTGTTTGCAGTTTGCTTGAAGTTTGGCTTCATGAAGTCATGTCTGAACGGGCGCACGGCTTCAGCGCGAGCCCAGAGTCATTTGTTGCCCCCTGGTGGTGAAAATAGGAACGACAAGAGCAGGATTATTTCTGGCTTTAGTGCGACGCATCATTGCCATTGAATGAACGATTAGTTATTGTGGCATTGAGCTGTTCGAAGAAAAACGTAAATAGGTCACTTTTATAGATATATATTTTTAAAAACACATAGTAGGGTGAGTAGTTGTCAAGTCATATAACATAGTTTTGGCAAAAATGGAAGCAACTATGACTAGTTTCCTAAAAAATAAGGATTATCTTTTAATGTGCATGCTATATTATACATTTTCTACCAATAAAAATATCCATATCTATAGAAACTCTGCAACTTTCTACCTGATCTGTTTCTTGATCTTAATGATTGTTTGTTCACTTTTGTTCTCTTAGTTTCTACTTACTAATTATGCAATTATGCTGGACTGGATTTTATTTAGGGTTATTTAAATTTTTTAAACTGCATTTTCTTTTTTCTTTTTGCTATTAATATGTGCTATATCGTCTTGGTTTCTCACATTAAATCCTAATAGCATGCATTATATAATATTAATATAAATATACTGAATTGATTTGAATTACACTTTCTTTCTATAATTTTATAAAATAGAATAAAATTGAGGGGGATAAATGCTTGTGCAAAGAATTGTACTGTAGATTAAAGTAAACTGAAAAACATTGCACCAAAAATTCTCCTTTTATTTTATAGCAGTGTAATATATATGTTTATTCACTAAAAATAGCAGACATTTGAATTAAAAACCCTCATTGACGCTTTTATGATCGAGTAAAATGAGGATGTTGCACTGTGTCTTTATTGAAAAGAAAGTCTTTAAGTATTTAATACAGTAGTGGCAGCGTAATGCTGCGGGACCATTTCTCTGTCAGTGGAAAGATTACATTTATTCAATTCATGTAAAACAAAAAATTAAATGGTTTTAAAAATGAGCATGACAGCCTGCGAATGTAGCTCAGAATAAATATCGAATAGTGAGCAAATCTAAACTTTATAAACTTTGAAAAGTTTTGCTATCTAATTGTGAATAATGTATGATGAAATCTAATATTTCACACAACGGAAAAAAAATCGTTTCACGTTCTTTTAAATTCAACAGAGTTTTATTCTTCATCAAATACAGCCTTGAAGCCAATCAGAGCTTTAGAAATTTCCACTCTGACTGGCAGGAGAAAACAAACTAAATCAATCCTCTCTGGAGACAATGATGGCGGATCCACAGTAAGCTGCATACATCAGCAGAGAATCAAATCAATACTACTAACAAGTGCTAATGTCAGATTTCCTTCTTGTATTAGCAGCTTTAAAAAGGGTTTAAAGAAGCCACATCTGAGCTACAGCAGTGCTTTAACAGATGGCGTTGTATTCTACAGCATCTTTATTAATCCTCCTTATTTGTAAAATACACACAAATACAGAAGATAAAACAATGAGTGGGTGGCACGGAATCAGCTGCAATGCTTTTGCAGCGATTTTGCAAAATATAGGGCAACATGTTTTATTGGTTGCCTTACTAATTCAGTTTTGCATGCAGCTTAATCTGTGTTTATCGTAGAAGCAACAGTTGCAGTCAGAAACGAGAGCTCCAAACTTCAGTCTGTCTCACTACTCATGAGCTAGCATTAGATAAAATGCCCATAATAAATGCAGAGGCCTCTCCTAAATGCACAAATATGTCCACACTCTAAATTAAGATAAACAAGCAGTTGTCAATGCGCTTAGGTGGTGCTCAGAGCTTAAATCAGAGAAAAGCGGGGTGCTGTAAGGTACCCCCACACCCAAAGAAAAACAATATAAGTTGATGTGAATCCATTTTCTAGCAGATGTATGGAATGATGGGCTGAAGGAAAATGTGAGGGGTGGGCAGATATTTCCTGGCTGACAGAGGAAGAGGGCTGAATGAATGGGTTGATGGATGCACTTATTTTGAGAAGCCAAAAAAGCCAAGAAACTGTTTTTATTATTGTTTTTTAGATGACCTTGAATTGTCAGTCATAAGAATGTGCACAAAAATGCTTATTTCACTTCTATGACTCAACCCGACAAAACATCCTAAGGACTCACTCTGTGTGCAGAGATGCACAGAAAGGGAGTCTGTTACCCGGGAGAATGTCTGCTCTGCTAATCTTCTTCTCGGCTGCCATGTTGACCCAGGCCGGACAGTCAGATGGACGTGTCAACCGTCATCTTCATTTTACTCCACCTCCTTTCACCCTAACAAGCACAGAAACGTCAGCCCTGCTGACAGACAGCAGCGATTTAGTAGCCAGAGGCTGCAGCTCACCAGAATGGGTTAGTTCTACGCAGAAATCCTGCCACATCTCACAAAAAGTCATTTTAGAAACAGACAGGTTTGATGTTGTTTACTTTAGGTCTGCCTAAAGTAAGGTGCTAGTGCACCCTCTCTCAGCTTCCAAAGTTTCATCTAACATAGATTAAATATTTAATTCAGCTGCAGTTGGAGGTTAGTGACTGAAATGTAAGAAAATGGTTAGGATGTCCTCCCATAACAGTTACTAGTGGTAGACAATGGGCTGAAAAAGGTTCTGTTGATGAGTTTGCAATAGTCAGTACATAGAAATGCCTGTAAAACTGCTGGTAAAACTGGGACCAACAAGGCCCTTAATTTTGAGCAACTTTTTCTTAAATCCTTGTAGTTAAGACCTTTATCGACACCACATGTGTTACTTTTATGGCTTTTATCTAATCAAACCAAATGGGTGTTATGGTAATCCCTTTGTGAGCAGAAGCTTAACACTCAACAACATTAAAATGCTTGCTTGTTCGAGACACAAATTAATTTCTGCAAGACACAGGAAATAAAAATGTGGATAATATCCTAGATGTCAAGCATGGTGGTATAAACGTCATGATGTGGGCCTGTCCATTGAAACCAACCGATCTGAATGAGTTCCGTTTGCAATCTGCTGAGATAAGTGATCAGACATTTAAGCAGAACTAGCTAGAAAGTTACAGCTAAGACTTATTGTTAAGGTACAACAACTTTTTAAGTAGCAGTTTTGTTGCTGAGGTCCATCAAAAAAGAAAGCATTAGCAGCTGAAGAGAGGGAACTATTGTCTTCAGTGTGATGTGATTCAAGAAGTACAGACTGAGGCATCCATTTGGCTGCAAACATCGGCCATTTTGTTCCTGAGTATGTCCCAAAACAGACTGTGGTCCTCGGCGTCAATCCAAAACTTGTGCACACAGTCTCTGGTTAGAGGAGAAAATAAAAACCCCACAAAGCTCAAATGTCCATTTTCCTCTACAAGCATAAATAACAAAATGAAGTAAAAGCACAAATATCTTGAGAAGAAGATACAAGAAGGAACTCTTCATTTTTTTCCCTCTTGAATGCTTTAGGACACAAGCATAAAGAAAATCTGAAAATAAAAACTGTATTTACATGTTGACTATTACAACTAACTAAAATCTTAGTTACAGTAAATGTTTGTTCACCCATGAAACAAAGTACATTTATGCAAAAAGGATATCTCATTTCATAAATTATCCCACCAATATTGACTTATAGTATTTTGCAAACTGAGGTCCTAAGTAACATCCAAAGTGGAAATTAAAAATTGAGACATATTACTGGCCATGGTGTTGACTTTGACTCCTATATGTTAGATTACATACATAATACAAATTATACTTGGTTTTAAAAATCATGTACAAAGAACCTTTCAAAATCAGATTTCATTAACCTCTTAAAAGGAGCTAACATGCTTTCCAAATAAATAGTTAACAAGGAGGCCTCTTCAGCTGACATTTGTTAAACTTGTCAAAAATAATGGCTATGACCTACATTCATTAATAGTTAAAAGAGAAAATTAGTAGCATAATAAAGAGTAAACAAAATGTTTGTTGTGAAGCAGTGAAACAACATATTCTGTTAAATAGCCCACCTCCTTTATGTAAAGTACATCAATTAAACATCTAAGGAGCTAAATTTTACTCTATAATATCGGAGAATAACCTATAAATTGTTGGGTTTTAGAAAGTGAGGCACAAGATTCTTTCTTATACAATTTTATTTAACCTATTAGCAACAAAGCTAACAAGCTTCCTAGCTAGCTAGTAAGGATACTTTTTCACTATCCTCTGTATAACATCTTGGACAGAAATGATTAAAGTTTTCATATTTAAGTACATTCAGAACTTACAATGGAGCATTAGGGCCAGGCTAGATATTTTTTTTTCTTCTATTTCGAGAATAAAGTCGGAACATTACGAGAATAAAGTCATCAGATTATTAGATTAAAGTTGTGATATTACGAGAAAAAAGTCGTAACATTATGAGAATAAAGTTGTAATATTGTCATAAGGTTACAACTTTATTCTTGTAATTTTACGACTTTATTCTCGTAATGTTACAACTTTCTCATAATTATACGACTTTATTCTTGTAATGTTGCGAATTTTACGACTTTATTCTCCTAATTTTATGGCTTCATTCTCGTAATTTTACGACTTAATTCTCTTAATTTTATGGTTTTACTCTCGTAAACTTTATTCTCGTAATGTTACAACTTTATTATCGAAATAGAAGGAAAAAAAATCTCTATCCTGGCCCTTATACTCCGTCGTAATAACTAGCTGCTATTAAAAGAACTGTATACAAAAAGAAATTGTTAAATAAAGCGAGCTAATGAAGCAGCTAATGTTATGTATCTTATAGCTAATCCCGTGTTGATGATAAAAAAAAAAAAAAACTTAACTAAAACATTTTTAAAAGCATAAACAGAAAAATAACACAAAATAATAACATCTTTCTTTGTGAATTAGGGGAAATATTGGCTTTTTACAAGAGTTTGAAGGCCTCGTGGATGTTGAAAAACATGATGGTGGTTATGATTGCTGTTTTTTTTTTTTACCTCTTTTGCTATACCCGTTAGATGAACTATTATAGCAGTTTGTCATTTCGAAAAATTCACAATGGATTCAAAACTGAGGGCAAATTAGTCCTACTTGAGAAATATTTTTTTTGTGATAAAGAGTTGGCTGTGGTATTTTTAGATGTTGTTAAATTGATGATAAAACCAGCTCCTGGAGCTTTTGTGCTACAGTGTTAAGCTCAAGGATGCTTAAAAGCCATCTTGAATCCAGGTCACTTCACAGTATTACAGTCTTCAAACTCTCCACATCACTCTGCTGATTTGTATGGGACATGCTGCTTTCAGGTATCTGGCTTCTCAGCTGTATATATTAGTTTCATGGATGAGTAACCAAGTCTTAAAATTCATTTGAATCATATATCTGTCCTCAAATGTGCTGACATGTCACTCAATGCTATTTTTTCAGCTTGTTGGCCAAATATGTCTGAATATTTTAGGTCTAAGTGCTGCTTTACTTTATATAAATGTCAAATATTCTTATTTTTCACTTTTTGGTTTAAATTGTGTTTTTCTCACTTTTAAAACAGCAAAGTAACAGCATGTAGATGGCAATAAAAAGTTAAATTAATATCTTTGCAACCTTGCAACCTATTAAAATGAACTTTTTAACTCAAACTACTGTAGGTAGTAGTTAAAATTTAAGCAGTGATAGTTGTTATTTAATACAAAGGAGTCCGCTGTTTCCTTTTGAAGAGAACGTCACGCAAAATGCAGCAGGATAGACACAAAAGAAGAAAAGCAGTTGCTCTCCTGTTTCTTAGAAGGAGTTTCTTCATTATCAAGCATGTTTTTTAGGCCACAAGAAAATGAAAGATAATCTGCTGAAGCTTTTCATCCATTCAAAGTGCCTGAATCAGATAGATGAATATAGTTTGTTCCTCAAGCGCAGGTGTTTGGTTTTTTCAATTTTTTTTTCTAAAGCAGTGATCGTTTCGTCTGAACCCCTTCATCTTTTACACAAATCTAGTTTTAGAAAGAAATAAACCACACAAAAAACAGGGGAGGATTATGTTGAGGCTACGACTCCTTTCACCATTGGTTCTCTGTTCAGGTATGTGGCCCAGTAGACGAGGTTGAAGGTTCCGAAGAGGACAGGAAACACTATCCGTGACATCTTGTCGATCTTGCTGACACTGTTGTACGTCTTCTTGGGGTCCACCAGTTTGCTTTCTGAGCCTCGCAGTTGCACTGACGTTGTGTTGGAGATGGTGGAGATGGACACGTCTTTGGTGAGGTTGGGGGTGTAGTTGACGCCAGCCGAGCAGACATTGTTGGCCTTTTTAGAGAGAACCATCGGGTCTCTTTTCTACAGTAGGACATATTACAATAATGCTTTCCTGTTACTATTGTGAGATCCATACATTTTAGTATATTGATGATAATAAGCAGTTGTACCACCATTAAATGGATCACAGGTATTACCTTAGGGTGCTGTGCTTCTAGAGCTTTCTTGCCATCCCAGGCCCAGCTCCTCTTGGTGAAGTAGTTCACAGTGGCAAACTCAATAAGAGCAGAAAAGACAAAAGCATAGCAGACAGCAATGAACCAGTCCATGGCTGTGGCGTAGGCTACTTTGGGAAGTGAGTTTCTGGCACTGATGCTGAGTGTGGTCATCGTCAACACCGTAGTCACACCTGGGAGCAAACCAAAGCCATGTTAAGAAGAAAAGTGCTGATATGGCATAAGAAGAGACCAAAATTGTGGAAAAAAATATTCCTCTCACCGAAGACAGTCCGTGCAGGAACAGACTCTCTGTTAAGCCAAAACGACACTTGGGACAAAATTACAGTCATGAAACATGGCATGTACGTCTGGATGACGAAATATCCGATTTTCCTCTTCAGGTAGAAGTGTGCCATCATCACAGTATACTGTCCTGAAAAGAATGGAAAAATATCATATAAAGTTAATGAGTGAAATCAACTTTATTCTAAGTGCATCATAATAATCCACTCAAGGTCAATAGTGTTATTGTAATCCAGGAAAAGACCTTATTACTTTTGTAACATAAAAAAAAAAAAAAAAAAAAAAATATATATATATATATATATATATATATATATATATATACCGGTATATATGGATATTTTGATGGCAAAAATGTATGTCAATGTAATATCAAGAAACGCCAACTTGCCCGAATATATTAAGAAAATAAAAAAAGTTCTATAAAAAATTCATGAAAAACAATCTGAGAGTGAAAGAAACAAATTTTTTTATACAACATAAGCTTAGAGGCATTAATGCTGATACTGGCACTTACATTTATTAATTTATAAACCTAAATATAATTGTTAACTAGGCTTATTAACTTTTTAACTTTACTTTGTAACATTTCACTTAACTTTTTACCTTTTTTTTCTTGACTTAATTTTTTTTTTTCAACTTGATTTACAGTAGGTAGTATATAAATCAAGGGCTCATCTAATTGGTCAAATGCCAAAATAAGATGTACAGCCATGTGGCAGAATCTTTGCTGAATGGGTGGATATAGATCTTGTGCCTATAGACATCACTGAGGGACGGGGGGGACACCATTTGTAAGGAGTATGCAAGTGAATAAAAATCGGTAATTTGCCTTATAAAGTGTTAAAGGGCAAAATACTGTAATTCTTTAGTAAAATGCAGGTAGGACATCTTAATTGACAAATCAATGTCTACAAAACAAAGTTTGCTTCTCCCTTCATACCAGTTATAACTCTTTCTTCACGTGGTAGTGCTAAACAAAAGGATTAATTCTGGGGGAAAAAAATTTCCAATTTTTTCAAGAGGTAGTATAAATAATTTAAAGTGCACAACAAAAACTTACTGATGAAAATAACCCAAATGGGCTTAAAACAAAGGTTATTACTGCTTATTATTTCTCTTCATTTTGGTGCATTTTATAGTTGATTTTTTACATTTTTAGACTAGATGTTTAAAAAGCAATAAATGGACTGAAGAAAACTGAAATGAATTTTTTCACATTGAGTACAGATTCTTTTCATAAAAACTTTATCATTTCGGAAATCTTTGACTAAGTTACTCAGAAGGCCGACAATATCTTGATGAGAACAAATCTATCTAACTATATGTTTACTTCATTGTCGTAAAATAAAGCAGGGTCAAATTAATTCTTGTTTTATTACTTTTTTTAAAATCTCATTTCCACAGGGGCATAATAAAGAGGTGTTTAAATGTGCAGAATAGTGAAAAAGGCATAAATGTAGTGAGGATGAAAAGGACATTTCAATTACAGTTGAGCATAACGGTGACAGTAAAACGCTATCAAAGTGAAAAATGGGCACAAGTAGAGAGAATTACTGCCAACATAGATTGTTATGTGGTAAATGTTGAATTGCTAATGGTGGGTGAGGACATTGAAAGATAAGTTGGGGTATAGAGTGAAAAAGATGGATCATGATATTGCATTCAAGGCTTTAAAGAACGTAAAATCCTTTTGCCGTCAGCTGTTTACGGCTGCAGGCGCTGGGTAACTATGAAAAATCCAGTGCATCTCATTCTCTCCCACACACAAACACCATACACATAGTAATACACAAGGCTTTCTCTGGGCAAAATCCGATTTTTGAACCTCCCTAATCCCTGGTTACAATCTGCATCCTGCCATCAGTAAGAGGGAGGGACAGGGAAGGGGGTGGGGGCTTCATGCCCTAGGATCCTTAATGAAGCCCCGCCCAATCCGACCCTGCCAATCCAGGCACTGACACACACACCCACACGAAGCATGATTTCCACTGTTGACCCACACTTCAGCACAGGCTTTAAGCTGGGGAAGAGGAAGGACGATCGCTGCTGCTAATCACTGCCGGGATGGAGGGGGGCTAACTTTGTGGGTATTCTCTGTCTTTTCCTTTATATCATGCTGGTTCTTTTACATCATATTGACGTGGCAGCTTTTTGTAGATTAATGATTAAATGTTGTTGACAGGATTGGTTGGCATGCAAGGGGAAAAGAAGGTATTTGTTGCAGCTGTCAAGTGACAAAGATTTGTCGCTGTTTGCCCCGTTATGTCCCTTAGCATCATGGCCTTTACAATGGGAGAACAATCCGAGCATCACTACCCGGACCTACCAACGCCCTCATGACTCCAGGCTGGCTCACTCGCAGTCCCCCCATCATCCTCTCCTGCTCTTGCAAAGATTCTGGGCACCTTCATTCTTGATGCATGGATCTCTACTGGATCCGGTCCAAAGGGTTGAGAAGGAACATGTTACAGTGCTGGATGTTACTCCTTTTCTCCCATGGATTTGTATTCAAGATTGTCCAAGGGGAACTTCCTTTCATGTTGGGGAACAATGCTGCCATGCTGGTCAACTTGTAAGTTTTCTTGTTTTACTTTTGATATTAGTTTGGTTTAAAGGTAAGCAAAATTATTTAGGAAGGGTTGACTGTTTAAAAACAGTCCAGAGAAAGAAGAATCAGAAATATCTTAGTGTTAAGAAGTTATTTAGAGAAAGATATTGCTATGTTAGACAGAACACACTGTGCCCTTATGGCTGTCAGCTATCTTAAGAAAAACTCTCGGGATAATCTCCTCTTTCATGCCCAGAAATAGGTGCATTGTCTAAAATTAGTTGTGCTACTTAAAGTCTAATGCCATAACATCCATCTAAAGCACTAAGCAACATAAATGAGCTTCCTTTGCAAACAGCACTAGAGTCATACTATTATAGATTATTATAGATACTATTATTTTGAGGTTCTGAGAGGGCTTGAAGATCAATAACACTTCTAAACTTGCAGTGACACTCATTAACGATTGCAAATTAGGTACCATCATACTGTTGTTAGCTGACCCCTTTGCAGCTACAGTAGAGGCCAGGAAGGGACTTTTCAAAGCTAAGCTATAAGGAGTTACACCATAAGAAAATCCAGATAGTCATTAACTGACCGCTGCTTTGAACTTCAGTTAAACAAGTGATAGGGTGTTTCTGTAGGGACTGAATCAAACAACAGCTGCCACCGGGCTCATTTTAATAGAGAAGAGCAGCAGCAGTAAACCTCTGTGGACAGCATGTGTTTTGTTTTTTTTTGCAGCAACTTTACTGAACTCCTTAATTGGCAGTTTTCATTTTACTTTACTGTTACAGCCTTTCTTATTACTTCCTGACATGCCGAACAAACAAAAGAAGAAAGCTTTAGATAACTGCTTTGTAATATGTGCACTTGTTTCTGTCTAGAGCTTCTGTCATCCTCTTTAGGAAATCACTGCTTTATATATGCTCATTCTATTCCATTGTGCAGTTCCAGATGGATCACGATGCCTAGATTGGGTCAAAAAAGGTCTAAAATCTTATATTTGGTTGTAAAAGTCATTCATAAAATATGACCAGAATGAATCAACCTACTGTAGTGAAAATTACCCGAGAGTTCAACTCCACTGACAATATCCACTACAGATTTGGACGATTTCCAGACAGAAGCTTTGGGCTTCGCTGAATGATGCTCCATAAGAATCAGTTTCCCTGATAATGTTAAGCGATCTTGTCAGAACTCCAGATGCTCATTCATGACTGAGATAAACTGTTGAAGCCAGTGTAAATATGCCCAATATTAAAATTAATGAAATTATATTCAGTTGTGGTATTTCAAATCAGAGGAAGTTAAACGTTACACTTTTAAATTGTCTATCTTGGTCAACACTAGATATAGTTAAAATAACATTTCTGAGACTAAATAATTAACTCTGTTCAACAGCTGGTACAACATCATTTATCATTTAAATTTCACCCTGAATTCATTCAACACTTCATTCACTAGTTTACAATCTCAAAAGTTAATATCACAGATTAGTGTTAACACGTATCAGGATTTATGGCCAAATATAGCAAAGTATCATAAGCATAACAGGAAATGAATCCCATCCTGTCTGATACATTGTAGCCACAGCTGTCTTGGGGCACAATGACAGAAACACTTCACCAGTGCAAGTTAATTTGCAAAAGCTGGGCTGGGATTTTTAACCTAACACCTGCAGCTTACTTTACAACTTTAAAGTCAACCATTGTTGTAGTTAGTGAACGTGTTTCAAAAGATAAACTTTCAAGGTATTCTAACAGAAACTCTTCTAATTGTTCTTTTTTAAACAACACTTAACAGAGTCGCTTGTATTTACCTCTGTAGATTAACCCCAACTCTTTTGAGGAACTAACCCTCAAATAGTTGAAGATGACTAAATAAATGTTGAATTAATTCTGTACTTTCAAAATACAACACCAACCCTGGAAATGAAACACCCTGGATTATGTTGTGTCGTCCAGAACATGTTCAGTCAAATCAATTTGTAGATGTAGAAAGATGTTGAAAATAAAACAAAAAAAGGTACAAAAATACAAACTGTCATTTGTTAATGGTTTGAATATGGTTTTCAGTATCTGTTAAAGTTTATCCGGTGACTAATTTGAGAAAATCCAGGAAGAACTATACTGTGGTAATCTGATTTATGAGAAAAATCATAAAGTTTTCCAATTTAGCATATCTTATTTTAATAATCCTAATTAAAAATCTGGGGTATTTTAATTTTTTTTTATATTGTAGTCATATTATACATTTTACATCTGTGAAATAAATTGCTTCAGTGTAAATAGTAATAAAAAATAATATTATTCTTAGCCTGTTTCCTGCTTTAAATCCATTACTTTAAATTAAGTTTCACTCAGAAATAAATAAAAAAACATATTTATAGGGAAACTGTGGTGGTCGATGAGTGCTCATAAATCTAACTGTGATTAGGGCCTTTAATAGCTTTGAGCTGCCCTGGAAATAATTTCCTTTTAGTGGAGCTGATTCAAAAATAAGAAAAAAAAACAGTTCTTAGTGATGCCGCACACTAACACATTTCAGAGTAGAGGTGGCATGCATGAAAACGTGTTGGTGCTATAAGGGAATATAAATAGTTGAGTAGGTGAGTAGGTCAAATTCAAAAACTGATTCTAAGACAGAAACAGTTGCCAATCTTTTAGTACAAGGTATTCAACAAACTCACATTTAAATTTCTCTAAAAGTATTTGTTTTGCTCTTTCTAAACAAGAAAGATTTCGCTATGCTAATGATCACATTTTAGGTTTATCCAACCGTTATGTGTCAGTTTATCTTTCTTTTTGAGTAAAACATTACAACAGAAATTCCCCCGGCAAAAAAATTTATAAAATCTTGCTTCTAATGTAATTAAATTATGTCTTCTTTATAGAGGACATATTCCTACATCCTATTTTCAACAGTTGATCTAATCCTTGTATGGACCGGTTTTCCCTTATAGATTGTGGAGGTCAATAAACTATGGTTCATTATCAGACTTAAGGTAGACAATAAGAAAATCAGTCAAGATGTGAGAGAAAGTACAAAACACCCAGGGTTCTGGCTTAGTTGGGGTAACATCCGAGTGAGGACCATCTTTTTTTTAAGGTAAAAGTTGAGTGCAAAATGAGAATGGACTGTCGGAGGACTAAATCAATGGTTTCCATCATTCTCTAAGCACAAAACAAGCATTACAAAGCTGTATTATGTTGGGGGAGAAACACACATATGAGGGAAATCCAGACTTTTAATAAACACTCTACTAGAAGCTAAACGGAACTGCATGGTTCCGCTTTACATAAGAGTATTAAACAGATGCCTTCCAGCCCCCTTCAACCTCCACATGTCCGTGTGAGGCTGTCCAATTCCAACACACAAACATTCCTTGCTCCATCTTTGTTAGGACCTACCCTACAATCAGACTCATCTTTTCTCTTTGTGAAACTTAGTCCCGCTTATGATTTGGTAAAAACTCAACTTATGCCTCAAACTGATGCAAGCTTTAACCCTAGTTTAGAGATGTATCTAGATTGTGACATTTTGAATGTTTATATATCACTGTGAGGACATTTGGTGTTTACAATGATACGTTTACGCACACAGATCCGCTGGGTGACAGTCACCCAACCAATCTCTCACTGATTTGTGATGTCATCTTCTTATGCAGAAGCCAATGGCTGGTTGGATGGATGTTGGGGAGGATTAACCCATGGTCTCAGGTCTCCTCTGCTCAGTGTGTGTTGGTTTGTGCGTGCAGCAGCTCATGTGTGGATAACTGTTGTATGACAGGGCTGTTGGGGCCTGTAGACAGCTGGTTTTGTGACGGATAGGCCACTCGCCTCCACTGGCATCCGCTCAATGAGTCTGATCCTCCTGGTGATCTTTGCCTGCGTTTATCATTGACTCTGAACAGCCATGTTATTCACTACAACAATCATCAAAAAGCGCTTGGTGCTTAAAATTAGCCAATGATTTCTTATATCTTTGCCTTTTTTATTTCCATGCGTAAATTATTAAACCCATTTTAATATCAGGAAAGCATAAGCTAAGCCAATACAATATTTTCCTTGAAAAATCACAAATTAACTGTGATTTATCTTTTTTTTTTTTCACTGACCACACCCTGGCCCGGTTATAGCCAGAACTGTAAGATAAAGAACTAAGTCAGCCAATACATCTTTAGAAACAATCTAATCTAAAGAAATGTAAGAACATAATAGAACCAAAGTAATTCACATCCTTCGGGGTTTTCTAACTTCTTCAAACACCAGTGATCCTCAGTGAGTGCTATTACTTACAAATTGAGAAAATATGGAACAGTGGTGAACCCTTCCTGCAGTGCTGGCTAACTTAAATTACTGCAATACTGAACTACTGTAGCTCCCTAAAGCACCCAGAACAAATTTCAAAGCACCAATCAACAATCTCTCTCTCGTTACTGTAAAAGGATTTTGTTCTAGTCCTTCAGTATTTACAGCACTTTTTCTGATAATTAAAGCTGTGAAGATCATTTGTTTCTGCACAGCTCTTTTAAGGCTGTAGCAGCTCAATTAGGTCGATATATTGACTCTGCAGAGCCATGGCAAGACTTTGATTTCTTTCCAGATGATCTCAAATTTGCCAGGTGTCAACATAAGAGTTTATAAAAGTTCTGTAAAAGTAAAAAATAAAAAATAAATCGACTGGACTTGGTTTTCAAGATTTGAAGACGTTTCGCTACCTCTCCAGGAAGCTTTCTCAATTCAAATTAAAGCTTCCTGGTGAGGTAGCGAAACGTCTTCAAATTCAGTGGATTTTTTTTTTTTTACTTTTACGGAATCACTATGACCTGGATGACTGAGAATCTCCATCAGCTTTATGAAGGTTCTATGGCTGCAAAACATGCCCTAATGATCAACCCTCCACCTAAATGCTTGACAGTTAGCATGAGGTGTTTATATTGACAAAATGTATTAAGGGGAATGCATCATGGCCAAACATTTCTGCTTTGCTCTCATCTATTAATGGGGAATTGATTCACAGCCTTGCAATTTACCTAAATGCTACTTTTCAGGATAGATCCTTAAAGCATTTAAGTGAAAGTTTTTTTTCTTTGTAGCAAGAAAAGCATTTGCTCAGGCAGCAATTAGTCCTAAGTTTCTTCCTGATTCTTTCAATCAACATTTAACATGAGGGAAAATAACTTTCCTACAACGATATACACACGTGAACAAAATTGTCTGCACCCCTTGTTTAACGAAAGAAAAGCCAACAACTGTAACAGGTATGACTTAGGTCTCACAAAAGTAATGATAATTAGAAAAATTCTATAAGATCTTAAACCATGTTAAGATGGACTGATTTTTAAAAAATTAACTCATGAAACAGACCTGGACAAAATCATAGTATCCCTAGAAAAGACCGAAAATATCACAACCAAGGGGTCATGTTGAGTCAAGATATGTCAAGATATTAGCGGGCCTATATTTAGGGCTACAGATAGTCAATGTGGCGTTTGGTGACATGGTGTGTACCACACTCAACATGGACCAGAGGAAGCAAAGCAACAAGTTGTATCAAGAGATCAGAAGGTAAAGGCAATAAGTACATCTCCAAGTAGATTGATGATTGATTCAAAAATGTAAGCAAATGTAGCAAACCCCATTGGATGACGCAACAGGAAAAGAATCTATGACAAATTAAAGAAATAAACAATATGAATGGTAACAAAAGAGCCCAGAAAAACTGCCAAAGAAATTAAAGGTGAACTTCAAGCTCAAGGAACATCTGTTGTTGTTTGAACCAAGAGAGACCACTAAGAAGGACACCATTGTTGGAAAAAAAAAAAAAATTTAAAATAGACAGACTGGAGTTTGCCAAGCTACATGAAGAAGACAACCCACAAAGCTTCTGGGAGAATGTCCTACTAACAAATGAGAAAAAATGCAATGCTTTGCCAAGGCACATCAGCTCGATCTTCACAGGGGGAAAGCTGAAGCATAGCCAAAATGTAACACTTTCCCTCCTGTGGAACAGGGAGGAGGCTGATTTTGTTACATCAGGGATGTAATGTGCTGCTCAGTGTCAGAAAGCTGAGTCTCAGTCACAGGTCAACAGGATAAGGACCCAAAGGAAACAGATAAAAGTACCCAAGAATGGCTAAAAGGAAAACATTGGACTTTTCTGGAGTGGCCTTCTATGAGCCCTAACCTAAATCCTATTGAGAAAGGAGCTGAAACATGATGTCTGGAAAAGGAAGCCTTCAAACATCAGACAACTGGAGCAGTTTACTCATGAGGAGCAGACCAGAATACCTGCTGAGAGGAGCAGAAGCCTCATTGGCAGTTTTATGATTGCAGTGATTGTGTGGCACATATACAGGAATAAAAGCGTGACATTTATGCCTAGATAGAATTGTTTTTTTTAGTCCAGTAATGTGTAATTTCTAACAGATCTGTAAGAACTTATTGGACCCCAGAAAGGAAAATTGGATAGGTTCCAGCTTCGTTTCAATGTATTTTAAACTTTTGTAAGGAGAATGTTAATTTATATACTAAAAAATGGGCAGTGCACCAACTTTCAACTGCAATATCAATGTGTGCAATACTAAAATTGCAAAAGACTACTTAGTGGTAATAAATGGCATGATACTATGTTTAATGAGATTTGCAAATAAATGCTGCATAGCAGCTGCCTATTTAGCATAGTGGATAGACTTTCTACACTTTTCATGCCACTTTACAGTATATACTAAGAAGTCAAAAAGCCCAGGCTGACATAACGTAGTAGACAATATAATGATTAAAAAAAGACAGATTCAAAATGTTTTTCCTCCTACTTGCAACTATAGCTAAATTGTATTGCAATCTTATTGTATTTTATATTGTAACACATGAGGCATCTAATGCACAAATGCATCATATTACATCCCTATGAATGTGATTTTGTATGGAAAGGTATTAAAATCAAACTGAAGCATAAAACCGTAAATATATAATTTGATGTATGGGTTCATATTGTAGGGTAAAATTAATCCACTACATTTAATTGTTCAGTTTTAAAATTTGTTGTAAAGTATATAATATTGTGTGGCATCACATCAAGGATCTTTATATGTTGTTGTTTTTTTGTTATATTTGGTCATATAAAAAAAAAATGTTAGAACTGTATATTTACAGTCATTTTTACTATTTTTAATGTTGCACTTTTAAAAAAGATGAAATTGTCCAGAGAGCTGTTTCCAAACGAAATATCTTTTTGGTTTTGCACTTACACAAAATGACACATAAAATATGTCTAATGTCTAATATTACTGAATGTCTTTGTATGGCATAATGCTCACTTCCCACTGCTCCCCAAGGGAATGGGTTAAATGCAGAGGTAAATTTCTCTAATGTGAGAGCAATAAAGTTAGATTATTTTTATTATTATTTCTTATATTATTATTTCTTATCTAAAATTGAATGATGGGATTTTATTTCTAAAAAAAATGAAGAATCATATAAATTTAGCCCTGTTTTACATCACTTAAGCACAATGACTAATTGTTCAAACATTCCCCCTCACCTCTGCTGGTGTGTATGTCCTCTGTGTCAGCCGTTTGTCCAACTAGATGGTATTGGTTGAGCCTGGAACCATCTTCTGCCACCACAACAGACTTGGCAGCTCCTTGGGTCCATGTGTAGACTACCTCTGATACTGGGTAGGCATCTGGGAGAGAGAGACAGATGCAGAAACCTTATAAGTAATTTCAAATGAAAGAAAATATTATTTTAACTTTTTAAAATGGGTAGATGACCATTAGGTTGCCCTCTAAGGGTTTCTAGTACGCAAGTTTGTCTCAAAGTTTTAGAAGAAGGGGATCTTTTAGGGGATCTTAGGGATTTTTTTGCCTGTTCTTGTTCATCATCTTTTTTTTTTTTTTTGAAATAGATCACACAAAACAAAAGATAAGCCACCCTTTGAAAAAATAGCAATCTTTGTACATACAAATAAAACATCTGAGTGTTTTCTTGAAGCGTTTGTCGTACATGTGGAGAACTGCATCAACTAAATCTTGGAGTCCATAGCAGCCTCTAAATACAATCTACATGAATATTTCTGCTTGTATCAAAAAACATAAACAAAGATTTTGCTAAACTTTATTTAAAAGATTTGGTTTGACGTGATTAAGATTCAGCTTTTGAGCATTTAGCGACTAGTGTAAAGTATAGAGGAGGACTGGTAATGTCGGGCTTGTGTCTTTTCAGAACATCCTGAGATTGTTGTTGAGGTGTATTGCTTTAGAAACTCTTGAATTGCAAAGTATTGGAAAATCTATTGTTTCTGGGTGCATTGAGCTTAGAAAAAGAAGAAACTGACAATTAAAGGTGGTATAGAACTGATATGTGGATTCAGGACCTCGAATAGCGGCTAGAATTAATAAAACCATAAATTCATTTTTTTTTCTAAGAAATGCTTTTGGTTAATGTCCAGCAATCGGTTTGTGATATTAAGCTCAAGCACATAGAGGTTGAACCACAGAACTGATCCAAAGCCGGACAGCAAATCCTTCTCTGAATGGCTAAAAATGATAAAGTGTAGGTTTTAGAGTGGCCTAGTCTGGCAAAGGATCTAAATCTGATCCAAATGATTTGGTGTGACTTGAAAACCCTCCTATGTGGCTCAGTTATACAGAAAAATAACAAACTAATATGTGTTTGATTGTCTGAAAGATTTAAATGTAGTAGAAAAAGAGAAATCAATGAAATTTGTAAGGGGACATACGAGGTTAGCATGCAAACCTGTGTGCTCACTTATCAGCTGTTTGACTGTATGCTCAAATTTAATGACTGCCAGGCTAAAGGCCACAGCCTTAACTGAAAGGGGAGATTGCAAAAAGGGATTATTGGTGAATTTCATTATGCAAATGAAGAGCTAAAGACTTTGGCAGTCCCAACAGTTCACCTTTGCCAACTTCTCAACACTTCTGGCTTAATGTGTTGCCGCTCCTGCAACACATTACTCCTCGCTGGGTAAGGCAAAGCGAGCTACAACTCAGCCAAACTCATCACCTACAGTAATAGAATGCGCCAAGTTCAGCTGTCAGGAAGGTTTTATGACGTGGAGGACTGCAGATCCAGTTCTAGTTGTACTAACTATTAGAGGAAGGGAGTAAAATAAAAAAGCCAAAAGAACAATGTTTGCATACAGCATTGTTTTACATTAAAAGGCCATAGAGAACACGTCTGTTTATTCCGTCATGGTCACGGTGGTGATCCTCATATTTCGCATCAACGGATTACTTATAAAGTAAAACTGAGAATCCAAAATTCTACATTTTAGAAAATCAGAAATGTACAAACTACCAAACTGCCTAAAAAGCCTTTAATGAAATGTCATGTAATTGCCATATTGTGGCCTATAGTCATGGTTGGACTACTGTTTGAAACAATACCAACACACCAGGAATCAGGTATTGTCGCCTTCTATTTATTTTTAGTCATCCTGTTGAAGGTTTGCTGCAGTTTCAGTAAAACGTCTGCTGTTGGATGGATGACAAAATAGAAGAGTTCCCAGTTCACTCCAATACCTTAAGGTCTACAGGTTCTGAGACCCAAATCACCTTCATGCTTGACACATTGTATGAAAACTGACATAAGTAATTCTGCCATATTATTTCAAGAGAGAGGAGTCTTTTTCCTGGACACCCTTCTTAAGAGGTTTTACTTGCTCAGTCTGTTTTGTAACTGTCCTGTCTTAAACTTTGGTAACTAATATGCTAGGCGAGGTTTGTAGAACCTGTTAAAATAACCTGAAAACTATTAAAATATCTTTGACACTAACAGTTTTCCTCTGTTTTTAGCTTTTTTTTTGTTGTTGATTTTTTTTATGTTTTAACAGACAAACAGTGTCTATCAAACTAGACACAGAACAGAACATACAAAAAATAGGACAGCTCTAACATGAACGATGAATATACAGCATGATAGAAAAGGTGCTGAATCAGCTTTATGGTGCATAGATGCTGTTCAGATTCGCAGCAGACTTTTTTGAGGGTGGAGGAATGGTCCGGTTCAATATAGTCCCTACTCTGTAAAACTGGTCTGCCCTGTGATGTATGACATTAGTTAGATGTTTAAAAAACTATTTTATGCCAACCACAGACAGAAGGAGCTTTGTCACTGACCCACTGCAAAAGAATATTCTTTCTAGTTGCGAAGGTTAAGATATTGTACAATCTTTTGTTGGCTGCTTAGAATCAACGACATAGGGTCCATGTCTATATTAATTTGAAAATTTCGCATCATTTCAATTCTAATTGCAGCCCAGTATCTTTGAAATTTGTGACAAAACCCGAAACAAAGAGTTAAAGTGGTTGAAGAGGTTCCTGCAATGAGGGGAGATATGTAATCGGTGTAAGGTCTTAAATTGTATTGTTCTTATCTGAGTCCAAACTGAGATCCCTTTTGCAAGATACCAGATGACATCCCACTTGTCCTCACCAATGTTTAAAAACAACTCCCTTTCCCAAACACCCCTTTGTGTCTGTTCTTAGTTCATTTCTCTAGTAAATCCAAAACTAAAGAGATTTGCCACTTCCTTAAATGTTATTAGATCGGCCCTATGACCCATCCTGGATTGATGTCCAGTACTAACTCCTTCTCCAAAATCATATCTGTCATCCATCCACCTTGGAACTGAGTCAAGACCCAGTATGTAGGTGAAAGCGAACTACCACCATAGAAAAATTCAGTCCTCCATTATAGCTTTGGTTTATAACTTCTCTAGGATCCATGCTGTTGTATTTTCTACCTAACATTACTTTATTGCACACCTGTATGCAGTGCAGGCCTACAAAAATGTTGTTCTTATTTTAGCTGTGGTGACACTCCCTGACGATTAACTTATCTCTTAAAACCTACCTGATGTTTTGAATAAGTGATTTGCTCCCTGTCACACATCGACATATGTCGAATTTGTTGAGAAATGTTGAGTATGCTCATACATGAGCCATTAGTTACAGGTAAGTTATTTGATTGTTGACATATGTTGAGTGTAAGTTACTCATAAGTCGTGGTGTCTAGCTTATTCAAAACTTATTAGTAACGAGTGCATAACTTAAGCATAACTTATTAATACATATCAACATCTGTGACGTGTTCCAGACGACGGCTGAACGTGTTTTTTACTTACTAATACTGTATAAGGGCGTATTGGAAGCGTTTTTGTATAAAAGGGGGTTCACAGAAGGAAACCGTCAGTACTCCTTAGACTGCATCCGCATCATACGGTGAGCGTGAAGGTGAGTGGATCTTCTCTGCTTTCACGCATACGGCCACGAACAACAAACTTCCTAGCAGACATGAAGCTAAATCTGCTGTGACTGTAAACCTCCTTTCTTTCTTTTTCTTGTTTCTTTTACTTTATTTTTTCTTTGTCAGGCTGTAATAGCAGCTGGGTTAATACCGCGATCAAAGGAATCTTTTTCTGCACTCCAGGAGCAGCGCTGCCCTCCTCATGACACTGGCTTGTGACATTTCATGAGCAACACTCTGCCGTGCGTTATGCTTGAGTTATGGATACGCTATGTATACACCCAAAACTGAAAAAATACATAGGAAGTTTAGCATATGCCAGCGTTTTAGAAGATTCTGGGACATCAGGCATGCGCCGGCTAAATTGGCAAGGTGTGACTGGTCCCTTAGGAAGTGTGTTTAGTCAATGCATATCTGTTGCAGAAACTGCAAAATCACAACTCAATATGAAACATTTGTGCCTGGAACTTGTCTGTAGCTCTGAGAAGGAAGCCCTTTCAGCCAAGCAGTTAAGTTAAGCATCTGGGGGTAGAATGGGGGGGGATTAGGAGCCCTTCACCTGAGCTAACCTGCTTTAACTGCGAGATAAATCACCTCTGTCACTGAGGAGAAGGAGCACAGACCTCCACATAACTGTCACCGGAGTTTCTCTTTGTAAAAATATGAAAACATGGTTCCGCCTTGCCATCCACTCATTATTCCCATTATACTCCCTCACCTTTCACCAGCATTGCCGCACCAGGACTAATTAGGCTGATGCTGACCCCGGGGCAGCCCAGCAACTTCTCACAGCATAATTGGATTGTGCTCCAAAGTGTAATCTGACATAGTGAGGCTGGGCGGAGCGCATCTCTCTGAGATCCCGGGGATAAAGAGCCTCATCCTTTAAGTCCAACAGACTCCAAAGGTGTGGGTCGGGCTGTCTTTAAATACCAACTGGTTCATATCAGAGGGAGGAAACGTAACAAGAAGCTATGCCATCACTAACCTGTCTCAAAGGAAACCTGAGGAAATGTATTTTCTATATTTTTTGTCTTTTAGGAAGAATGAAGCATAAATGTTGACAGAGGACGCTTTCCGTTTAACTTTAATCAAGTATGCCGGGAGAAAAGTTTAGTTTATTTTTTAATTTATGTTGATTCCCCCTATAATAGTCCATAAACATCCTGTAATTGCAATCCTTATTACACTTTCTGTTATTAGGACCAGTTTATGGCTCTAATAACTTAGCATTGCAGCAACAGGCTTGAAAATTATCTCCAAATGTAACAATCATGCATTAAGTGACATAAAACCTGGACTATTGTTAACTGCAACTCGCTGCACTAGACTGCAGGATGCAATTATTTAAGAGTGATGGATCTAGGATTACCAAGGATGTAGGCAGTTGGGGCAGAGATTTTACTCACAGCTGCCAAACTTGAGTGGACAGGCGTGGGCATCCATGGGGAAGTCCTCCAACTGCATGGGGCATTCTGCTGAGATGGTCAACCTGACATGAAACAAAGAAAACACCCTTATTCACTGGGAGACATCTTTATACTGAAGGATTTAATTCAAAGAATGTGAACCAGGGGAACTGGTCTGCTTCTGTCAGTTTTTCTCACTGTAAAACCAATAATACTGCCATCTAGTGGTCAGAAAGTGTCTTTTCCCACTACAGATAAAAAAACTTCATTTTGTCAAGGGCTGAATTAATTCTCAGTGTCAGCCCTGTCATTTTAATCCCTCCAAACTGCAACAGGAGCCTTTTCTTTAAATCTCATTTCCTGCTGGTTATATTCACATTCATTCTGAATCTGATCATTGTGCTGGTGCAGGATTAACTTGATCGAGCACTGGCACACCACCTTAATACTTGTCCTGTTATTCCCCCGGAAGCGATCTGTCCTAGATTGAATTAAATCCCTGAGGGTCCTTCTGCTCTTTACATGATGATGAATAATGTATCATTATAGTAATGTTGGTTCATAAAGGCTATAAAGGACTGACAGAGGGAGAATTAGCCACAGCACAGAAATGTTTATGTTAAAGGTTTTATTTTCTGGCAAAACATTACTTACAGAGCACTTTTATTTCTCTAAACCATCCTGATCATCATGCCCATCTTTCCTGAATTACAATCATCTTTTTATGTGTTTTTCTAACGGCCCCTGAATTTGAAGTGAACTAAGCACAACAACGTATGATAAGAAACCTCTGGTTTCTGCAGAGCTGATGGTTTAGGGCCCTGATTTTGTGTGTTACAGTGGAGGAGCTAATGAGAACATGGCTTTCGGCACTTGTACGATGCTCTCATTATTCATAGAGCAATTTCCAAAATATTTTGGTGGTGATGATCAGAATTGACATCTAAATCAGAGACTTTGATATAAGGCAGATCATTAAGGGAAAAATAATGATATCAGTTGTTTCACTTTAGTGCCATAAATAAATGAAATCATTAATAATAAAAAAATAAAAAATAAATCACTTAATAAAAAAAAAACCTAAAGTAGAAGGAGTCTTAGAATGGTTTAAAGAAAGAATTATGTAAAAGGTTCAACATTTAAGAGAGTGAAATCCCTGAAAGTAAATAAGGATATCACTCAATGTTTGGCTTAAAAAAACAATAACAAACCCAGAAATCACTCAAAAAATGAGGGGGGAAGTTTTGAATGACTAAAAAGATGGAAATATGCGAATATTTCAATTTTGAGAAAAAGATTTCAAGTGTAAGTTTTTAGGAAATTAGTAAAGTCGCAAAAAGAGGAAAAAATAATAATCAAATGGTTCCTTATTGCACAAGGAATAAAAAAAACATAGTGTTGCACCCTGTATCAGTTTTCCTTGAGCAGTAATTATCAATTTATTTCTTCTCAATGTTTATTTAAAGAAGAAGTAACTGTTTTTTTTCTTCTTCTTTTCATAATCTAAGCTGTTGTTTCCTTAATCTGCTGTGTGGCATATAGTATCCGCAACTTTTATTCTCACAAATTGTAAGACAAAACACTTTGAATTTTCTTTTCTGATGCTCCGTGCGTCTTTCTTCTGCTACCTTCAAGCTTCTCATCATTTTATACAGGCTTTAAATTACAGACAGAAATCAATGTCCTTCTAGAAAGATCTTTTTTAATCTTTCTATTACTTTCATAAAAAAGTTTTAAAAAAACAATCCACTGGACTTTGTTTCCAAGTTCTAAGACACTTTGCTTCCCATCCAGCTTTTCCAATTCAAGATGTCAACAATAGTATTGGGTTTGAGGCTTTATAGAGTGGACCAAAAATAAAAAGCCTTATTTTGTCTTAGAAAAGACATAAAATAAACCGGACGATACCTGTCTCTGTCTCTGAAAGGGGGGTCATTAGAGGGAATTGTTGCTGAACAGGCGAGGTGTTCTGATTCCCTATAATAGGGTAGGGGTTACTTTCCATTGCTTCTAAAAGCACTACCTTTATGGGGGTCATGTTTAGGTAATGTGCATGAGTTTGTTCAGATTCCAAGGTGGACTTTCAATTTCCCTAACAGCAAGTCATTTCATAATTTGCTTCCCCCAAGCTGGATTTCCTGTTTTTCGACTGATTCTCTCAGGGAAGGCCAGCAATCCCCAAAGTCGGTCCTCGACGGCTGCTGTTCTGCATGTTTTAGAGCAGGGGTGTCAAAGTGGTTCCAGAAAGGGCCGAGTGGCTGCAGGTTTTCTTTCCAACCAAGCAATAGCACACCAGACTCCAGTCATTTCATAATGTCATCATGTTCAGATTGGACTCACTTGATGAGATGATAGGAGTCTGGTGTGCTACTGCTTGGTTGGAAAGAAAACTTGCAGCCACACGGCCCTTTCTGGAACCAGTTTGACACCCCTGTTTTAGAGGCTTCTCTGCTTTAGCACAGCTGATTCTGATGATTGCAGTTCAGCAAAAGCTTGTTAATCAACTATCAATGTAAATCAGCTGTGCTGGAGTAGGGAAACCTCTAAAAACCTGCAGGACAGCGGCCCTGCAGGACAGCGGCCCTCCAGGACCGACTTTGGGGGTGCCTGGTGAAGGGTAAAAATCCCTTCATCATAGAGCAGATACTTCCTGAACATAACAGCAGATGGTTTTTGCACCGCCGGGAAAACTTGACAAGACAATCTGATCTTGCACAAAAGTTGAAAAGTTGGCAAAACCAAAAAGGCTCGAGCTTGTTTTTTGTCAAACACCGTCTGTCTTTTTACAATCCGCCTTCTCACACCAACGAACCCTTTTTTATATCAGGAAATGTGAGAACAGGCTAAAAGAAGAACTGTTAGATTTTCTTAAAAATAGCAGAAGTGTGAATACTATTATGAGAAAGAATGTTCACCACCAGTCTGTATGCATAAAGCTCACATAGTGTAGCAAGAAGCAGCCACTTATCTATTAACGATGGAGACAACTAGACAGAGATTTGCCCAGTAATTCCCTCCCCTGTGAGTAATGGCCTTTAGACGAGGCCGTCACAATCAGGAGGCGGAAGACATGAGCTGTCACCGACACTCCCAGTGGTGTCAGGAGTGTGTTTGTGCGAGACGGGTCATGGTGTCAGCAATGTGCTTTCTGAGTGTGTTGGTGAAAGCCTGAATGGGGGGAATCCATACGTGCAGGACTTTTAAAACTCAATCCACACGTCACTATTTTCTCAGATTTAATCTATAAGGCTAACACATAGTGATGCAAAAATTTGAAGGGTTATTAATGATTTTTAATCAATACAAATGCAAAATTCCATAGCAGTGCTTACGTTTGTATATTTAGCCTATTATTATGTCAGTCCTTAATTGAATCTGTCTTCTCAATAATTACAGCTGCAACTATTTTAGTTCACTAAAAGATCTGAAATATATGGTTTTGTGATGTTCTTTTATTCCTAATGTCAAACAGATTTTTCTTCCCACTAATCTAAGAAAACATATTTTGTGTTGTAAAAATAGCTTGTATCAAATTAAAAAATTTTAAGTTTCTCTTCTTTGCTTCTCTGCTTTAAAGGTCAACATTAATGGAGAACACAAATCATACTCGTCATGCTGAAACACACTCTCCCACCTGAAATGTAGATCTACACAGCTCCTTTTGGTGTCTTATCTAATAAATGTTATCCTTTGCAGGACAATTTGCCACACTGGGTTTATTAAGAGGTTTCAATCTAAAGAAAATGAAACACAAAAGCACGTCACTCTTTTTATTTTAAGAAACAATTGTATTCCTTCCAGTCTAACTGGCCTCTCTATGTGTTGCTCTTTCACATAACTGTTTAAATATATTAGGAGTTGTGGTTTTAACTTGACAAAATGTGGGAATTTTAATGGGACCCTTCTTTAAGGCCCTAAATGTGAGTGCAGTTGGCAGTAACTGTCTGCAGTAAAATACACCATTATTTAAAGATTTGGTTTGATCTTCTTTTGACAGTTTCTTATTATTTGAAATAATATTTTTTTAAACCATCTGTACCGTTGGATTGTATCAACCCCTTCCACATCAGTTTACTGAAATACACTTGGTGACCTGGACATAATACAGATTTTAGGGTTTCTGCATTACATATAAACGGCCACTAGATGCTGCTGTTTTACCTTTAGTCTGAGTTAAACAGTTTCTTTTTATGCTGTCTAATCTATCCCTGGTGGAGTCATTCTGCTTGTTTTATGTCTGTCCTTCTGCTTTCTTTATGTAGCTACATCAACCTTTGTATCTGCAATTAAAAAAGTTACCAACAGATATCTTTTTCATGAGAAAACAAAGGGTACTCAAACTCAAAGACTATGCCTGTTTCTGTCATTGATTGCAGTGGCCTACCTCATTGTGTAAAGCAGGGTTCCGTCGTCCTTTAGCCTCAGCAGCTTGTTGGGTGTGGTCATGTTATGCGCAATGGACTTCTTGCCGTTGAGAAAAAAGGTATCAGGAGTCCAGATGTTGCTGGCCAGGAGGTTGTTTAAAGGCAGCATCTCCATGGGCCCTTTGAAGCAGAGGCGCTCATCCTTCCAGCTTTGTCGAAAGAACACATCTATAGTGTATTCCTGAGAAAGCATAGCCATGGTGGACAAAGCAAAAGACAGATAAATTAATTTAGATGAACGTTCAGAATCTTTTAAAAGTGCTGAGAATGGAGCCAGCACTTCATAAATCTATCACAAACTTACTTGTGTGTAATATAGGGGTCCGCTTCATCTCTGAAAAACAAATGACCACTATAGCCGACAGAATAATGAGGCTGTTAGCTGGCTGACACATACGTTTTAAGCGGCTGGAGGAACTTTCAAGCTTCCTGCTATAATCTATAAATCAATCATCACACAGTGACAATGCCCCGTTCAAGTTCATTATAGCAAAAAGACAAGTTTGATAAGTGCAGTGTCAAAACTGTGCCAGGATATGGAGGTAGGTAATGGGACATTTGCCAAAAGAGGAGATTTAATGCTTTTCATCGTCCAGGTAGAACCCTGTAGTTCATAAGAGAGAGAATTAATGAAAATGGTGAATCACTCGGAACATAATTGGAATGGAGGAGCTAAACTATATTGGATTTTATAGTTAAATTTCCATGATTTGCAGATAGCCATAATAGAGGTAATATGAAAATGCATAGCTAAGAGATGGTTCTCCTTAAATGGCTCCTTTTTGAAAGTCATTTTGAGAATGAAATAAAATAAGTTAGGCAAGTCGGTGGGATACCAGCGGATTTATAGGGGTGGACACGGACCATCCTTATAAATTCGCTTCAGATACCGATGAATGTTTTCATCTAAAACTAGTGGGATGTAGTTTTAGTTTTTACTCTTAGCTGGACTTTTATTGCTCTTCTTAATTTAATTTCCTTTACCTCCTGTGCTTTGGCTGTTGGGGATCAAAATGTTTGCTCACTGGATTGATGTCTGAATAATTCTAAATGTCTCTTTAGAGCTATTCAAAAAGAAGTCCTGATGTGCTTGCTAGGTAATACATCAATACATCTGCACTATTGATAGAGAAAAGAACAACAGCATGATGCTCTTACTAAAATGGCACAATGTTTTGATGCTTAAAAACTTAGACTTGAGTCTTCCAAACTATTTTTCTGCCATTTTGACCAAATAGCTCAATGTTTATGCCCAGATTCATCGGGCTTGTCAATATGGATTGAAACAGATTCCAGTTAAGTTGGACGTTTTTTAATTGTGATCGTATGGTGATGTTGAACTTTGGTGATTCCTGTGGTTTTGCTAAACATCTTGCCATTTCTTTTTGTCATTTAGAAGGACAGTTATTAGTTTTCTTACTCACCAAGAAGAGGTCAATCGTTTAGTGAAATTAATAGACTTTCATCACCCCTTGAGAGTTTAGATGAATAGAGTTTTTTAGAGCTCATTTATACAAGTTTACAACTCTGCATCCGCAGCATTTGTTGTGGAGAAACTCACCATCTCTGTGTCGGACACGGGGCCGAAGCTGGTCACAAAGATGTTTGTCTTGATCTCTGTTACATTCTCTGTCAAGAATGAACAGAATGCCAATGGAAAAGAAGCCTTAGACAAGCTCATGCATGAAGCATTTAGAGATCATTTAAAAAAAATTACTGAAATCGAGAAAAAAGGAACTTAACCTTATTGTCTATTATATATAAAAAATAAACCAAAACCACATAGTTGTAAATCTGGCCCCTGAAATGCCCCTGAAAGGCATTTGGTTGCACAGTGTTTCAAGCAGATTGCTGAATGAAGGCCTGTTATTTTCTGGTATGTATTTTTAGGCCCTCTTGTCAAGGGTAGCAACCGTTACCAGGCTCTGAGAGCTGCCTTTTGCCGTGACACATCCCGGTAAAAAAGAAAACAATAAAGAAACAGCCTGGTCCCTCCATTATTGGACAACTTCTGCATGCTCGTGGCAACAAGGTAACCGCTAACAGAAGATGGAAGGACATGAAACGCTCAGAGAAATTTCGAGGGAAACGTGCAATAAGCTGCAAGCTGTTAAGAGAGGGAGGGAATCAAAAGCTCTCATTTCAAATGTCCCTTAGAAAGAGAAAAAAAAAAAGAGATCTCATTTTTGAATGACAGTTTGCTAGCTCTCAAGGTTATCTCCTGTTGCCAGGGTGAGGAGGATGAATTAAACACCTCAGAGATCTGCATTCTGGTAGTGGTGACGATAGCTAGGTTGATAGAAACTGGCTCGGCTTATACACTGGAAGCTGTCGTCCAAAAAGGATTGCTCCCTCTGAAAGCATGGGATGTAATCAAACAGTCAGGCGACTAACCTCCGAGTCCCGGGCGCAGCCTGTTGTCGTAACCGTCCAGAAGGCCATCCAGGATCCGTGTGAATACCATGCTGTCTTCATTGGAGCCCGCGTCTTTCTGAGCTTCCGAAGTCTGCTGACCAAGACTGGGAGAAAAGTGAAGAGATTAGGAAAGGAGACAAAAATGAATCGGGGAAAAAAATGATGATCTTAAACTAAAACTTCAGGACGTCAGATGTGACGAGGTGATTGTGACTAATTAGCCAGCTGTATCAAGGCCAGACCTGTTGTGATTAATTATTGAACATAAGTGCTGCTTATAACTACCAGTAGAGATAATTAGGGCTCTGGTAACTGATCCAAATGCGAAAAAGGGGCATTTTCTATTCTTAAAGAAGCCTGTTTTTCTTTATCAACCAACATTTCCACATTTTCTAGGGGATGAGAAGCAAAAAACGAACAATAAAAATTCAGAATTTACTGTCATTATGTGATTGACAGCCTTCTTTGTGAGATATTTTAATGTCTCATTTTTTTACTTTCACAAAGTAAAAAAAAAATGCTACATTTAAGCAGCATTTGTAGAAACTTGGATATACGGACAACAGATATGTGCAACAGAAAAAAAATGTAAAACAAATGCAGCCTAGAGCTGTAAATGCATGCAAAAACATAAACTCCTTTAAAAGTATCATGAGAGCTTTTAGGTGTTTCTATTTAGTGGCTTCAATTTACCTGTTTTGGCATCCAAGCAGGAGCAGGACGGAAAGTACCAGCCAAGTCATGTTGTTTAAGAGCTGCAACACAAAAACAGAAAGAGCCAAAATGGAGCGTTTAAATGTCTTTTACTCTAAAGTAATTGTGATTCTGATTAATGAAAAAGTAGTAAGTAATTTAAACAAGAATCCCATTTAGGAGGCAAAACTAGTTGTCGGTCTACATGCTGAGCCAGAAAAGCACTACATTAGGCAGCGGGACTATGTGTGATTCCTCAAGCTTCAGTCTGCAACTCCTGCAACAACCATAACAACAGTAAAATCCATCTAAGAGAGGAAAGAGAGACATCGTTTTCTGAGGGTAATTTCTATTCCCCTGAATCCAGGGCATTGCATTCCCCACCTTCCCCCAGCCTCTGTACGGTCTATTCCCTTTTCTTCTGCTGCCTCCTTTTCACGTTTCCCTATCTAAACAAATCAAAGAAATTGTATTTCTTTTTGAGAATAATGTTAAAAGGAAATACCTGAATGCAGATCGATCTCTATAGGCGCCTGTAGACAGAGGGTCTCCAGCCAGACTTTACCACCACCTATTCTTCTCTGCCGCTAATCGCTTGTCTCACCACCTCCTCCTCCTCTTTGGCTCCTTCACCATGGGCTGTTTCTGCGCTCTCCCTTTCTCATTTCTCTCTGTCAATCAGCAGCTCCCCATCAGGAGGTGTCTTTCTGCTCCTCTCCTCCTTTAAGGCTTCACCGCGTCTCCTGCATCGCCTCCAGAAGTGTAACACCAGCAGTGGCGGCAGGAGCTGCAACAGAAAAGAAGGGGCTGCCTCTTCTGCCTCGTTGGCCAGCCTCTGAGGAGACTGGATTCACTCCACATTTTTTCCCCCTCTTTTATTCTCTCTTTTTTTTTTTTTGCACCGCCTACTGCCAGTGCGGGAAAATACAGTGCTGCGGGAGCCGCTGATAATGTTTTTAAATTGGAAGCTGTACATCGACGGATTGGCAGGAACAGGCATTATAAGCAGCAGTGCAGATTTTTATTTATCTTGATAAAGGAAAGCAATGATGATCTTAAATTATACCAGAGAAACATCTCACTAAACAGACATAAAAAAATATTAGATTTCTTTCTGTATAACCATAAAACTATGGATGATGTCTTTAAGGACAAAAGATGTCTATGTTGAAAAATGCAAATAGCCCAGAAGTCCTGTCCAGAAGGCAGAGGATTTGGAATGTTGGAGAGGTATATTAAAGGTTAAATAAGATGAATAAGCAAAATATGAGGGAACACCAACATAAAGGTCTCTTATGGCGTTTATGTCTTGTTTAAAATAGAAAAACTTTCACATAAAGAGATGTATTATCATCCTAATGGGGTTGATGAGTGAAAAGTTACAAGTTTTCCACATCATGTAGTCAAAAAAAGAAATCAATCTGTTAAAAATAAAAGGTTGTATGCATACAAACAAATGTGGTTAAAAAGTGCAAGGTTAAAAGATTAACACAGAAAGACATCTGTTAGTGCCTTAATGTGATTATAGAGGGATAAGTGAAAGCACGTTTAGATTGAGACATTGATTGATGTCTTAATGGATTCAAAAGCATAAAACATCCATTGAAAGGTGAAATGACGTCCACATAAAGACTCCGATCATCTTTTCCTATCATCTCCTGTCTTAATGTGGTTGAGAGGTGAACATATGTTATGTCTGTTGGTCTTAAAATGTAATTAACAGTTAATTGTGGTGAAGCTGATCCAATCTGCTACCTAATACTAACTTAGAAAGCACTAGCATAGGCAAAATTTGGATTGAAATGGCTAATTTTCTAAACTTGACTAAACAACTTGTATTTATAAAGGAAGCAAAAAGTTTTATAGAGTTAGTTTACATTAAAGGTGTACCTCTTTTGCTGCAACTAGTAGTTTACTGATTCAAAAATACAGCAATTAAGCTGCATTTGTTACTTCAGCATATTGATCGGTCTAATTACACAGAAACCTAGCTGTGTAATTAGACTGTAATGTTGCAGAAATTACATTAGCTTAACTAATTATTTCTTTTTCAACAACCAAATCATGGTGCTAATTACAGAATTACAGTAAACTGCTGAAGCTATTCATAATTTACTTATGCAATTGTTACACATCTAAAGGCTAAATGCTCTCCAACTTTTTTATTTGTAATGAAGGCTTAAGGCCAATAAAGTTAAAATAAAAGGGTATGAGTGTATTAATTATTTGGATACCGACCCAAATATTTACTTCTAGTTGACCCTGGGCTTTGACTGAGTAATTTCAGCACAAGCATATGCTTTAATCTAAACCACTTGATAAGCTCAGGCTGCATATTTAGGGTTGTGTCTCTAGTTGGTAGCTCATTGACCCAATTTCAAGTCTTTTGGAGCCTCTAACACATTTCTTTTTAAAATTTCCATCTAATTAGCTTTGTTTCTCTTCCCATCCACTATAAATAGTTGTATCCCCACAGCATGATGCTGCCATCCCTGTGCTAAATTTTCTACAGTATTTAGCACAAGGAGTTTATGTTCAAGTGCTGCCAGCAGCACTTGAACATAAACTTGAAGCACTTGGCTTATCCATCCATCCATTTTCCGACACATTTTATCCCAAGTGGGGTCGCGAGAGGTGCTGGTGCCTATCTCCAGCTGTCTATGGATGAGAGGCGGACAGGACCCTGGACAGGTCGCCAGTCCATCGCAGGGAAACATAGAGACAAACAACTATTCACACACTCACCCCTAAGGAGAAATTAGAGAAGCCAATTAACCTAACAGTCATGTTTTTGGTCTGTGGGAGGAAGCCGGAGTACCCGGAGAGAACCCACACATGCTCAGGGAGAACATGAAAACTCCATGCAGAAAGACCCCCAGGCCAGGAATCGAATCCGCAACCTTCTTGCTGCAAGGCAGCAGTGCTAGCCACTGCGACACTGAGTAGCCCGCTTATTTGCATAATAGAGCAAATAAAAGTAAAGAAAAAATGCATTTAAGTGGCCAGCTAAATTTCAATATGTCTTCCTATAGGGATTTGAACGACTGGTTGACAGTTGGACTGGTTGCCGTGAAAGGTGACCCAAAGGGTTGGGGCAAAATTAATGTTCCATCACCGCCATGTTGCTTTGAATACTTAATTTCCCTTAGAAAAAGGAAGTCAACATTTAAACACCTTTTTTTATATTCACTCATGTTATCTTTGTCTTATCTTAAAAACATTTCATCAAATTAAACACTTAACTGTAATAAAAAGGAGACCAAATAGAGGAAAATGCAATAAAGACAAATTGTTCATCGTTTGCCCCCACAGCTTTAATGCACTTACTTCAGTATCTCGGGACCCACTTATCATGCTGACGTCTGCCATAAGAGGGTAGCCGAGTTCCACGTTTAGTAATTAGTGGATAACATTTAACCTCCGCCCGCTTTCCTTTGATCCGTCCCGTACAGTAAAGCTAGAAAAGTGGAAAACAAGTGTACCCTCATAGGAGACTGATTTCAGCACCACGGCTGGTGCGGACAGCTCCTACACAGTGAGGGGGCGTCTCCCAGAGGATTTCCAATGTCCTTCATTATTTGTCCTGTACTCACTGCACTGTTGACCTCATACAAAAAATATTAAACGTTTGAATCACTACTCATTGAAGGAAATTGACTCAAATGTACAAAACCAGAAAGCATAGAATTGCCAGTTTTAATTGGCCAAATTCTCTTCATAGATGAGTGATGTCATCCCTCTCTTCTTTCAGGAACGCTGTTGACGGAAACAAGAAGTTGTTCGCCATCTATGACACCAGGTGAGGAAAACCCCTGCCCCATTTCCCCATCCCTGTTTTTTGGACTCAGAGGGACGCGCACACGCACCATTCATACCAATCAAGATTCCCTTCTTCCTCTCCTACCAAGAAAAATGAATCACGGATATTTAAAGTCACCTACACCAAAAGGCTGTTAAAGGGCTGAGTAACCGGACAATGAATAAAATATTGATTAAAAACATCCTGTATTTATTGGATAATGCTCCGCTTTCGCCATTTTTAATAGAACCACGAGAGCAATGGATTTGGCGCTGGTGTGGGGCACACTGTAAAAAATATCAATTTAGCAAAAAAAAAGATATATAACACATATTTCTATTTGAAACATTTGAAATTTTTAACAGTGAAATCTAACAAAATACATTTTTTTGAAGGATTATAAGGTATTTTTGAAACCTGGACTAGACTGATTATAAATAAAGAATGATTCTTTAAAAGATCAACTAAAATATCTTCCGGTTAAAAGTAAATCTCTGTAGTGCTTAATAAGCTGTCACATCATATCTCTATAAAAAGCTCCAGAATTTAAATGTATAATTGATTTTAAAGGTCTTAATTACAGCAAATCTTCAACATTTTCATGCTTAGAGTTGATCTCAGTTTGCACAAACAGCAGACATCTTTTTACAGCGTGTTAAGTGCTGGGCTTCGTCTCCCATTTGAACGAGTCTAGTGCCACCACTACCACCAGCAGCAGCAGCAGCAGCTTCCCTCATCAATATGCGCGTCAGCTCCTCAATTTAAGAGCCTCTTGCACATTTAGACAAGGGCAAATAAAGAATTTAGATATAAACCAACATTTCCGCAGGGGGAGGCGATGTCAGCCCCATTCCACATCTGACTCCGTCCGCAGCAGACTTTTTCTGCGCCTCAGTCGACTTTCTCCTGGTGTATTTTATGTTATTTTTTATTTTTATTGGCGAGAGGCGAGCAATCCATGGATTTGCGCACGAAAAGACTGTTGATTGCGGCGTGGGAGGTGTGTCTGTAAACAACAGGGGATAAAGAACCTTACTAATTATAGCAGGTAACAATCAAATCAAATTAGAGGGGAAGAGGAAGATGTTTGCGCTGCAGAGGGTCCGTCAATTCCGCGTCTTATCCGCGCTGCTGGTTGGGGCGATTGTGTGTTGCGCAAAAAGGTAAGTGCCTTTTTTTTTTTTTTTTCGTTTTTTTTTCTTTTTTTTCTGGTGTTTCTGTTTTTGCACCCAACAAGTCAAGGTTACAGCTCAGGTTAATTGGCTCATGCTTCCTCTCATTCCGCCGCTGTCGTTTCAGCGTCAACGAACCTGGCAACATGTCCATCGTGAAGGAGACGGTGGATAAACTACTAAAAGGGTACGACATCCGACTGAGACCGGACTTTGGAGGTAAACGCCTCTCCTCATCATCAATCACTGTCGCTCTTATTTGGCGCCATTCCCAAAGTGTTGGTCAGGTACATAACACCATGTAACCTGTTCCAGGGCCCCCAGTAGCAGTCGGCATGAGCATAGACGTGGCCAGCATAGACATGGTGTCAGAAGTCAACATGGTAAGCACATTTCCTTGTAGTTTTTAGCTGTTGCTATGGAGGTTCAATACTGCCACAATTCAATAAAACTCTTCAAAGGTTACAAATGTGTTACTAATTATTTAAAGTCGTACAAACTTAAAAAGGGTGATTAAATTAAACTAATATGTTTAAATCAATCTCAAGAGTCTAAAAATCACAAGTATTTACATTTTTTCACAAGATTTCAATGTGTGCAAGTAATCTATGGGGTCCAACACTGGCAAAACGATTTTTAAGCCAAAATTCTCTGTTAGAAATATATTGAAGCAACTTCTGAGGACAGGTTGAGTCAGAAGTACACTTGGTTAGTATCCTGATATTTTTGTTTTGACTTTGAAAATACATCTGAGGAATGTTTAAGTTGTGTGGGAGTGTCTGTATTAGAAAAGTTATTATCTGGTTTAAATATGTAAAACAGGTTTTGACAGAAATGTATCACTTAACTTGACGGGCTGTCAATTCACCATATGATTTTTTTGGTCGTGTTTTTAGAAATTTAATTACTTTTTTGTTTCAACTCCATTACGTTTAGAGACGTTCTGCCAGCGCCCTGTCATCTCTCTGTCACCAGCAAATAGGTCATAGAGGTGCTGCTCTGCTGGATGTAATTAGCAGGTCTGCTTGGAAATTCAGATTTTTGTTAGAGAACTTTTCTTTTATATAAATTAGCCAAACTTTGTCTGTTATGATACTGAGAAAGCCTCTTATTTTTTTTGCGCACAGCTATCATGGATCGCGTGTTTTAACAGCAATTAAAGGTATAGAGGACGATCTTTTATTTCTGGGTGGATCATCTAAACACGTGGTCCTCCTGATTGTCAATCATTCTGATGATATGTTTACATGCGGCCCTCCTATGTGCTTGTCACTGTCTACATAGCTATCATAGCTAGAGAAGAAATATATCTGGATATATAAATATCCAGATATAGAATGACTTGCGTGGAAGGTTCTCCCCGCAAAGCCCTATGGTATTTGTTAACACAGTGGCCCACTGTCGCCAAAGTCTGTCACTCCCGGACAGATGTGACTAACAACAAAGATGGCACAGGCACCGTGCAGTGGAGGAGAAGTTACTTGACCAACGAGGCAAAAACCAGTGATCATCTGTCCAAGCGGTCAGTTAACTGAGTTCACTATAAAGTCCACTATATAGTCCCCACTGTATGTGGACTCAGTAAGCTTGTATGAGCGATGAGAACAGCACAGTACAACACCAAGTGTTGTTACTGCAGTATGAAAGCTTAACAAAACGGTGGGTCCCTTAAAATGTCTTTAAATTATGTTTCTATTCGTTTAAAAACGTTATGCATTTTCAAACCTCTTTTTACAAGAAATACATTGAAAATGGACCTAAAATATTGTTTGAAATTTTACCAGATGTTGTTTATAGTCAGTTTTATATTTATATTTATGTATTTTTATCATTTTTTTTTTATTCTAATGACACTGTTTCCATTTATTTGAGTTTAGTTTCCTGGTTTTTGGTAGATTTACTTTTGACCACTGATCAAATTAGCCTAACTGTCCCCCCTAAGGTCAATGTTTGTTTTTAGAGTTTAAAGGAAGTGTTTTCTTACAACATAATATGGGTAACCTCACTAACCTTTAGATTGTCGGCTGTCCATCAGCGGGTTTTAAAGTCAGACAATTTAATTGGGAAATACTGTGCTATTTACGATCATAAACAGCTTAGGCGAACTCCACGGGGGGTCTGGTTGCCCTATAGTAGGGCTGAAACAATCGGATTAATCGATTTTTGAATTAATCATCAACTAATTCAGTAATTGATTAGCTGTTTACAGTCGTATAGAAACTCAAAAACATGCCTTTAGCTGACAGAGTGACCCATTTAGAGCAGTAATTATACCAAAATTGTAAAAATATATTTAAATATTTTGCATTTAAGATAAAAACACTTTTTGTTCTGTCAAAATGCTCCATCCAGAACTCCCAGAGTGGAAAAGTTTTTGGTTTGAGCTGGTTTAATTCTGTAAAAAAAAAAAAAAATCTTCTTTTAGGAACCTTTTGATTTGATAAGTAATCGATTAATCAAAAAATAATCAACAGATTAATCAAGCAGCAAAATAATCGTTAGTTGCAGCCCTACCTTACAGTGTCATGGCAGATTTCTCAGACTTGGTATTTCTTTATTAATATACTTTAAGATATATTCATTATAACATGTATATTTCTTTTTACATACTTATTGTGGCATTTTTGTCACTCTATGCTGTGCATTCAGACTTGTAGCCCCCCCACCATCTCATAATACGGTCATGTGGGTTCTTGGTGTCTTTATCTTGAACGTTGGCAGGCGAGAGAGAAGCAGCAGCAGCAGCGCTTCCAACAATCCTCAGACAGAAGGCTCACTTTGGAGACGAGATTAAAGCTGCAGCCATGCTCTCACAATCGATACACACCAAGAGCTCTCCATTCAGATCTTTTTAATGCAGAAGAATTCACAGCTCTGCTTGTTAACCTCTGCTGTTACCGTAACGCTGTCCTCCCTGGAGGGCCCCCTCTGAGCAGACGGCTATCATAAAGCTTGGGATTAGATTTGTTAATTCATGAGCTAAATGCTCCCCTCTTTACCCTGCCCCCCCCCCCCCCCCCCCCCCCCTTCTTCCTCATCTTTCCACATTGAAATGTACACTCGCATGCAAGAAAAAGTAACTTCAGGCTATTGTATCTTAAAATATCAGCTGATGATGACCCAAATCGCAGTTGGAAATGATCTGCCAGTGGCTATGTTTTCCTGGTCTTTGCAGGAGCAAAAATAAAAAAAAGGAGAGATTTTAGGACTCCAGTGCTGAGCTGTATTATAAATGTTGCCTTTTTTAACTACAAGTCTCTGGTTCCACATCAACACCTCTGCTCTGACAGCTTTCACGGACTGTTGCCTGCACAGGTGTTGCCATCATGACTTTCATTAGAGCTGATGGCTGCCAAGCCGGTGAGCTTTTCCCAAAACACAGACAAAATCGCTGGAGTCAAAGACAGTCGGTGTCAAGGCAACGATTGGTTGTTGGTATCCAGGCATGCTGAGCTTGTAAATGATCACAGTTTCAAAGTTGCTAAAACTTTCTGTCTCGGCTTGCTTACAGTTTAAAGTGAGTCGATGAGCTGCTATAGAGCCTGAAGAACAGGGAGTTAAATGCAGCACTACCTCGCTAACATCCTTTGCTGCACACTGCTAGTCAGCTGGCTTAAAGAACATCAACACACTTTTCACCTACATACAGGACAAAATTGTAGAAACTATGATTTGGAAATCTAAGGAGTGTCTCCTATCAGCCACTATTTATATATAGCCTGATTTACTAACCAGCCAAATCACAAAGTTATTTCTACAGTAGTGAGATCCTATATAGAGTGAAATAAAACTATTATTCTGTACAATAAGGTCTTAGTACCAAGAAAAATTTGTAGAAACTAAATATAAACATAAGTTGGAACAAGGTCATGAAAGCTATGAAACATTTTTTGATGGTAATATTTTTGCCCAAATATATTCTCTAGTTGCCAATATTTAAAATTTTATCTGCTGTTCATAAAACAGTTAATCTAATATATTACATTTTCTTGGAAGACATGCTCCTATTAACAAGAATAAAGCTCATACAGTCCATGATCAATACTCTATAAAGTAACTACATCATGTCATAGGTTTTCAGTCTTTGCCAAGGTACTGTGACACCGTTGAAGATGTTTTTTCTGAAGATTATCATACCAGGATAAGCTGATTCCAGCCTAAACCTAGTTAGTCTGTTTTAACCTCTCTTCAAACACACATCAACTCAAACTTCCAACAGGTTACATCATAACACGATGACAGTCCTGCGCCAGGCTACTGATTTTTCCGCTTCCCTGAAAAGCGCTAGATAGCAATCTTTTTGGAGTGAGGTGATGTGATTCTGTGTGTGGGCAGGTCCTGATCAATACTAACGACTCAATGATTAGTCTACCTGGTGACTCCTGGCTTTAACTATTGATCTGTGCTGTTCGTGCTGGTTTTCTGTGCACGAATTGCTCGTAGAAACCCCACAGATGTACAGAAATGCATTTGAGATTCCTGTCTGAATTGCTTTAAAGGAATTGTTCTCTATTAATTGCTATTATTTGCTATGATGTGACATGTGAGATATGTTGGGTTTTTTAGATCACTTATCAAAATGATGACTACTGAGAGCAGAAGGTAACATTGGTTTAAGTCAGAAATGGCTTTGATTCAGTTTTCTTTTGGCTTTTAAAAACTTAGAAGTCTTTTAAAATGAATACATCCTCACATCTCTAAAGCAGTCAACCTAAGAAGATATATTCCACATTATTTTAGTGCCAGGAAACATACCTTTGTAGACAGTCACAAGTTGGTGCCCTATTGCCCCATATGTTACAGGACATTCCATATTGTTTTGGTATGATAAGGGGTTGTACACTGCAAAAAATGCACTTATTTTTTTGTTAAAATAAGTGCCTTTGTTCTTGAATTAAGGAGGTAAAAGAGACATTCTGCCAATGGAACAAGACAATTTACACTTAAAATAAGAAAACACAATTGCATTGTCTTATTTCAAGTGCATATTATCTAATTATCTTATTTTAAGAGTAAAATTACTCATTCCATTGGCAAACTTTCTCATTTACCTACCGTATTTTCACGACCATAAGGCGCACCGTACTAAAAGGCGCAGTCTCAGTTATGTGTGCCATTTCTGTATTTAACACACACATAAGGCGCACCGAAATATAGGGGGCGTTTTTTATATACAGGTAAATGTCCTCTACTATGTTTAAATACCTCTACTGCGTATTTAAAAATACAGCGGGAGCAAAACTGAGTATGACTGTGCTTTATTCATGTATTTATTACAAAGTATTAATCAAACCTGGGAGCTGGCCGTGAGACAGACACATCGCAGATGACAGCGCTGTGATCACTCCTAAATTAACTTCAAATCCTGAAACCTGCCGACGAA